AAAGAGTGCTTTATTCTTCTCTGAAATATGCCCTTTTAGCTAACTCAGTTTGTCACTTAAAGGCTAAGACTGAATTGCCTCCAAATAAGTCTTGAGTCAGAATAACGTTTATACCCTACATTAATTCTTTAAAACAACAAAAACAAAACAAACAAATCCAAATAAAGCAGGGGATTACTCTTCTTTTCTCTGTATGCCAAAATAAATATTGTAAGTGAACAAGCAGTTATAATCAAGTCACGGCTTTCTAAAGCCGGGAAACTCATAGATGTCTTCATTACAAATTTTAATAAAATCTATTTTGCCTGAACTGTAGTTTCTAAAAGTTAGGAAGCTGGAAAGTTGTGGCCATGATTCTTCCAGAGTTGTGTCTTGTCTTCAAGTTTAGCAAGGCATTTGTCAACAATTTGGTGACAAATCTATAGCCAATTTGAAGTTAAAGACTTGACCTGCTGTCGTGGTTTAGCCCCAGCCAGCAACTCAGTACCACGCAGCCGCTCGCTCACTCCCCCTACCCCGATGGGATGGGGGAGAGAATTGGAGGAGTAAGAGTGAGAAACACTCCTGGGTTGAGAGAAGAACAGTTTAATAATTGAAATAAAGTAAAATAGTAATGCTAATAGTAACAGTATAACAATGATAATAATAATAATGATACACGAAGCAAGTGATGCACAATGCAACTGCTCACCACCCGCCGACCGATACCCAGACAGTTCCCGAGCAGCGATCGCTGCTCCCCGGCCAACCCCACCCAGTTTATATACTGAGCATGACGTCATATGGTATGGAATAGCCCTTTGGTCAGTTTGGATCAACTATTCTGGCTGTGCCCCCTCCCAGTTTCTTGTGCGCCTGGCAGAGCATGGGAAGCTGAAAAAGTCCTTGACTAGCATAAGCAGTACTCAGCAACAACTAAAAACATCAGCATGTTATCAACATTCTTCTCCTACTAAATCCAAAACACAGCACTATGCCTGCTGCTAGGAAGAAAATTAACTCTATCCCAGCCAAAACCAGGACACCTGCTAGTGCAAAGTTGCAGGTTAGCTGTGTTGTAGAGAGGGCTAAACTCAATTGTTCCAAGTAAAGAAAGTTCAGCTTGACTCTTTATATATAAACTATTCATAAAAGTCAGCTAAACCAAAAATCTAATGAACTAGCCCGAATACAGCTGTCTTGGTGATACCACTGAAGGATTATAGTGAAATATACGTATGATGATTTGGCAAATGCAGATGTAGTATTGGAACGTAATTTTCAGCATGCCAGTTGATACTGAAAATGGGCTGTTGTATTGGTGGTCTTAGACGAAGCTGGGAGGGGAAGTCAGGAGTGTAGGTGGTTGATGTTGCCTTGCCCTTCCAGTTTTTACAATGCACTGGACATTCATGGGAATGTGAGATTAACATTCCTATTAATATTCTCTTGTACCAAGTGTCTCTTTACTTTCCACCTTTATTTTTCCTCTGTTCCTTTTATTAATTTCCATTTAAGCCTGGCTTGAGCTATCTAGGACTGCATGTCTTACAACAGCAGTGTGTGCTGGTAACTTACGTAGTGCGCTGCATCTCTTGGACTCCTAACTAGCATAAAGTTGCCTGAATAGTTGATCAGTTGGGTGTGTGGTGGGTTTTTTGGGGTTTTTTTTGCTTGGTGTGGGCAAGTAGGGGTGTCCTTAAACAAGTTAGGAACAGTCTTGCATTTGGGATTTCCTTAATTTTCTTTCTGAATACTTGTCTTGTTGGAATTTCTTCCCACTTCATTGAAGAAGGAAATAAAAGCAACTTTGATTTCTTTATTTGAAGAACAGCTACGCTCTCGTAATTCTTTGTGAAAAGTTTGTTAACATAGAGGGAACATGGGAAGGAAGAAATGGATTTCTGAAAAAAATACCAACAACTAACAAGGAATAACTAATGGAGTATTATGTAGGAGAATATTAATCTTAATTCCTTATGCTTCAAATGTTTTTACAACATCTTTTCAACCTCTGTTACAAAGCTTAAACCTTTTAATAGTAATTGTGAGAGATTAATTGAGAAACGTTCTCTGTGGTCAAACTCTAGAAGGCATATCTGAAGTGGAAAACCAAACAATAACATCTTTTAACTTTATACATGTAAACATTTTAAAAGATCCAGCTTCATGGGGGAGAGCGTATGAATCACTTTGAAACTAATTTGAAAGTTTTGTATGAAGTCCAGTCATTTATTTAATTCCAGTGTAAGCAGATACACTCTAATTATGTCTTTCCTTTCATATTTCAATTTTTGCTTCAGGGTTTTGCTAGAATGGCTTCAGAGATAGGGTGTGAGAAAAGTCAAGACTGGGGATCTCCTGGTTTCGGAGGTGTATTTAAGGTGGAGTGGATCCGAAAAGAAAGCATTCCTTTTCAGTTTGCACACCATTTGCTCAACCCTTGGAATGACAATAAGAAAGTGCAAATAAGCAGAGATGGCCAGGTGATGTTGTTCTCTTCTAAAGTCTTCTTTACTAGGTAGAACTGTGTATTGTTTATTAGCTTGTTTAGACTTGATGTCTATCTCAGCTGTCTCATATGTCTGTTAATTTGAATTACAGTTCATTGATTGACATTGTATATTTTGCTAATGCATTACCATTGAAGTAATGGAGGCTTTTTGAGAAAATCAAAGTAGTTTCTTGCTTAATATGCATTTAAAAAAAAGATTTAAAGCTGGATGCTTCCAAAAATACAAACTTTTTGGAATTGGTATTTTGGTTCTGGAGATTTGTTCCCAGTTTGGTTCAAATTTGTTCCCCAAGATAGTCTGTCACACCCAAATAACTGTTCATAATTACAGCTTTGAGTTTCCTTTAAAGACTGAAGAAAATCTCGAGATTTGAGGTAGAATAAAGCTTAGGACAGTTCTCCAATCTGTATGCAGCTACAAAAAGCTGGAAGAGAATTGGCACAAGGGTTCTCTGTGGCAGTTTCTGTGTTCTCCCCAGTCCCCTCCCATAATATCTCCTTGATAGGAGATTCTAGAGCTAAACTTTTTGTATCATCTTCTCACTACTTCCCCAAAACCTCTCCAGCTGTAAGAACAAGGAAGGGAGTGTAGCACGTGACAGAGTTAACAGTGCTTTTGTTGTAAGTGGCTCTTAAGACGTAAAGAGTCTTAATGGTCTTACAAACAACTGGTTTATATTAATGTCTGTGATTCCACCAAGAGCCATTGTATTACCTGTGACCTGCCTCTCCACATTCTCCACCACACTTGACAGAATTAAACTTAAAAGGTGTGGAGAACAATGGTCTTTAGTTAATAAGTAAGTGACCTGTGGAAGGTACAAAGTATATGGTGCGTATGTTCTTGTGTATGGTGGGGGTGTGTTCACTCCGAATTCTCCTCTTAAGAACTGACATTTTACTGTGAATGAAAAGAGCCCCTAACAACTTGTAGGCCAGGGTTGCTTATGAAACTTACCACCTCTTGAGCCCTAGTAAAAAAAGCTTCCTGTGCAGGGAGTAACTTCATCTAACAATTTTGTTATAGTTTCTATATGTTCAATAGTAGCAGTGCAAATAACTTCTCTAATTTCCTGCTCATTTCCAGGAGCTGGAACCGCAAGTTGGAGAGCAGTTGCTACAGCTTTGGGACCGTATTCCTTTGGCAGGAAAAAGCTCAACTGACTGAGCATGTCAAGTAATGTGATAAAGGTAGTTATTTCATGTATTACTTTCTGGTTTTATGATAGAGGAAAAGCTATCTATATTCAGTGTGTGATTACAGCACTGTCTTTTCTTTGTAGTTTGTGGAAGAACAGGTACACCTAGTACTAAGTATTCTCTTCCTTTTGATTTTTTTTTTTAGCTGTGGTTGTTGGAACATCAGCTATAACCACTAGAACCAGCAGTGTGCCTACAATATGAAGATGAGGAAGGCGGCAGCACAGCAAGCTCCTGAAGTTGCTAGTCGTGCTGTGCAGCTAGCACTGGAAAAATAAGAGGGAATTATGTTGGTTTTAGTATTTCCTTGTCTTAACAAATGTCAGCATTATTCACCAGCCTGTTTTTGACTGAATTATTTTTTTACAGTAGTGTGCAGTTGATATTTAAAAACATGCCTAAGTTCAAAACTAAGTTTGAAACAATGGACCACATATAAGTTGTTTGTGGGTTTAAAATAGCACAGCAGACAGTTTAAATATACAGTTTACATTTAAAGCTTTCTCAACACAGTAAAATGTATGAGAGAAACCAGTGTAATGTTAATCAGTCTTGCAGTTTGCGTAAAATAAATATATTTGGAGACATCTATTCTGAATTTATTGTAAGATTCCATAAGTATTTGTTGAACTTCTACATGCACGGTGCGAGAGAGCAGGATATATTAATACAAACAACCGGGCAGCTGGAGAATGTAAAATTTTAATTTAAATACATAAGTGAAAGGAGCATGAGACTTTTGATAGTGGATTGGTGCAGTGGTGTTTCCAGTTTCGGCTATTTTTCACCTTTAAAAGGTACTCACACTTCAGCAAGCTGAAACAGTCTTTCAGAGGCCTGCTGCCAAAAATGGTACTCTGTAAGTTCACTTACTTGGGCATTATTAGATGATTTTTATTTCCTTCAAAACAACAACAAAAAAATGACCAGTACAGCTTTCTTCATCTTTCAATGTAGTCTTCATGCTTTCTTTCTATACCTCTTCTTTCAATTTCTTTCTTCTGTACTACTATTGTTTTATTTGGCCTCTTAGTTGTTAACGTACTGTACCAAGGCCGGTACAAATTCAGTCTGCTCACTGTCAGCACTGTTTGTGGTCATTCTTAGATTAAAATGAGCTCTTTCTGCTTCTGAGCGTGTACTTAGGTTTTTCATGTCTGCTAAGGATATTTGCACAGTTCAGAGTACCCTGTATATTCATTCTTACATTCTGTGTAGTGACTTCCGTACATAAACAGTCGTTTTTTCCTTTGCAAGACAACTGAGTCCTTGCAAGGCTAGTATTGCCTAGTATGGTATTTCTGGAGACAGTACGTACAATGGAGCTCTGAGGCTCATATTACCTTATATGATACTTCCAGGCCCGTGCCCACGAAGGAATGTGGGGTGCTGTTACCTTGCACAGTATTCCAGGGCCCCATGCACACCAAGGACAGAGCTGGCATAGAGGGGGGAGCAGAGGTGGGGTGTAATGTTTGGTTAACAAGCCCAAATAGAGCTTCTGTGGCTCGATGATAAAAAGGACAGTCCAGCCAAGGAATTTGCATTCCCCAAGGTCGTTAGCTGGTCTGGGTCACTTGTCTGGAGAAGACGTCATGCCCTGCTGCCTGCCTGACAGCCGTGGTCATCTAAGTCTTTGCATGCTCGGATGTTAGGTCTAGCCCAGTCTTGGTGAATTACCTGACTTGCTGTGGTTACGACCCAGGTAATTGTACTACTGATCAGTATTTTTTCATGTACTGTTATTTAGAGATAAGATGTTTATCCCTGAAGCTGTTGATCTGGTGTCTGTTAACCATATCGCGAACCTGTAACTTGGCACGGCTGCCTTAAGCCCTTACACTCTGGTGTCAGATGTGGGATACAAGACACTGCATCATGACCAGCCCTGACCCTGTGGTGGGTGCCTTAGTTGATTATTTTGGGACCTTGCCCTGCCTGTGGACAGCAGATTCTACTTTGATTAGAGAAAGTCAGAAAGACAGAAATATGAAGACAGAGTTACCCTGCTTACATCTCTTAGCTCACTGCCTTAGAGCTACTGAGCAGCATTTGAAAGCAGCCCATGCCCAAGTTGACTACTTATGAAAAGAACTGGCCCACACCCAGCAGGACACTGGGGCTGTAATACAGGAGAAGACTCTAGCCCCTGCCTGTGTTAAAAGCTGTCAGACTAATGTGGAGAAACTAGAGCAATGCAGCACTGTCTGTCTGGGAAAAACTTGACCATTGTCTGGAAGCTGTGGAAAAGGGAATTTGTTTATATAGAGACCCAGAGACGCAGATGATACTTGATCTGATTCGGATTCAGACAATGCTGTGTCAAATTCCTCCCTTCCTGAAGACTTAACTAATCCGACCAGTTGTTAAAACACAGTATGATGCTACTGGAGGTATGAGAGGTATTTCTGCATGCTCTTTCATGAGCACAGACCTAGCCAAACTGAGTGCTAACACAAATCTGTTACTGTGGATTATTTAACCTGTTTTGCAAATATGTTATGCGACAGGGGGAGACACCATCTGAGTTTCAGACTGGAAAGCCTGAGACTCACTTTGGGGTCTGTGATCCAACTACGGCTTCCATCACAAAGTGCAGACACTGTCTTCTGGGCAGCACCAGCATATACTCAGAGAAGTACCCAGAGGTGGTTGAGGACCCCTGGCTATTCCCTGGGCCAATCCCACAGATTTGAAATGGAACATAGCTAGGCTGGTTATCAGTCATGCTTTAGAAGTAGCCCCTGTGGAAGAGGAAAACCTATGTGGACATTGTCCCATGTGGCCCACTGGTGCCCACTAATCAAAAAGGGTCCTGGTCCACTCAGAGCCCATTTAAAGTCAACAGGCACTGCCCTTACAGGCACAGCATGCAGCTCCACGTGGGCCCAGCTCTTAGAAAAGGTAGTTTCTGCTGTGCCCGTTCGTACCTCGTGTCCAGGTGCTTAAAAATGCCCATAAGTGTGTGCAAAGAAGGGGAGTGTGCAGGACCTAATTATGTACTGAGATGCTTTTAAGTACACTTGAAACTACTGTCCTCTTCTTCCATGATTTGTCAATGTTTTCATGGCGATCAGACTTCATACAGTTGGTTTCATTTTCGCAGATAATTTAGCAAGTAGTTTAACACTAGGTTCACATGATTTTGCTTGTTTCACATGTCTTTGTTTTAATGATTTTAATGCTGACAAAACTAGGATAAATCCATGCTGGCGGTGTGGACAGGGTGATCTTTTTGGTTCTAATAAGCTAAAAATTTGTTGTTCAGTTGTACTCTGTCTTCCTTTCCTGTTTGTATTTTCTGTTTTCTCTCCTTTTCCCATGAAATTGCACATAACTTCATGGATATGCATTCAGGTTTGCTGTTAGCATCTGAACTCAGGCAGGACCACATCAGAGTTGTGTCTAGAGAATAGATCTAGGGGACTTTTCTTGAAGCTACTGAAGCATCAGAAGTTCATCTGTAAGGAGATAATTACACTGGTTTTTAAATGATGATTTAAAGAAAAAAAAGCCGCTTACCTCTGATCTCTAATTGTATGCTCAGTGCCACAGTGTATCAGTGCTTCCTAGTGACTTCTGAGACCACCTTTACAAGACAGAGTCAACCAGTAGTTGCTGCTGCTCTTCCTTTGGACTTCTGTTTTTCAGCAACAATAACAGATGGTCTGTAAAACTGAAGGTAAATGCTTTTTCTGTAAACAGCAATACTGCAACTTGTCTATGCCACAGTCTGCAAGGAACATCATATAGTATATTTTATATCCATAGTAGATTTAATTGTTTTCATAATTGGACGAAATTACTAGAAGAGGTTATTTTGAATGCAGGAACACTGAACAATGTGATGCATAGTAATCTTTTGCTGTGCAAAGTCATTTGCAGAAATATTTCTAAATAAAAATACGTGTGCTGTCATCCCTTTTTCAATGTGCTGTCATTCCATTTTTAATCTGAAATGAACAACTGTTTCTTGGTAATACCACAGTAATACACATTTCTGAATTGTAACTTTCAATAAATCAGCATAAATTATTTTTGAGTGAGTCTGGCTGAATGTCTACAATAAAATGTTCCCCTCTTGAAAAGGTTTCATCCAGTGGAAATAATGGTATCTTTATGGCCAGACATTACTTCAGTTAAATCCACGCAAAATGTCTGCATGGTTATTTCACTGTGCAGCAATGAATTTTCTGATAGTTCTTTCTGCAGAATCCTCTGCTCTGGTTTCATGTTATGTCTGTAAAACCACCACTTTGAATGTTTTGGAAAAGTGCTCTTTTGAGCCGTCAAGCACATTCCAGTTTCCTGACCCTGTGTATTGACATTCTTTGTCTTCACTCTGCTCTTTGTATCACCCTGGTCTCCAAAGAGAGACTTACCTTGGTAGCTATGCGTTTGATGATACCAGCAGTATTGTCAGTTTGTGGAAGAACTCCAGCACCATGGCTTTGTACCAGGATTCGTAGAGACCCCGAATCTGCCTAACAGTGGCTGAATGTGATTATACCTGAAGTGAAAATTAAAGCATCATGAAGGGCAAGGAGGTGAATCTGTCTGAAAAATACCAGGGCAGCAATGGCACGCAATTCACAGAATCCTTGTATTTGTGATGACAAATGGGACAAATGGCCTATCACCATCTTCTCTGCAACAGTAAAAATCCCAGCTTGGAGACTGTCAGCCAGGAGTTTATTTGCTTGGCTTTAGAGTAAACAAAGTTCTTGCAAGCGAGACAGTTGTCCATAAACACTAGAGTGAGGATGAAGGGAACAGAAATAGGGTTAAGGATGACAGCCACAGGTTTGCAAAGTTTGCTCATACATGAGCAAGGCTTATCTGAGCAGTGCTGATTCAGAACAACTCCAGTCAAGTTCCTCAAGACAGTAGGTAAGAGCTTTGCCAGTGGCTCGTGAGAAAAGGCTGAGGTGTGCTGAAAATAAGGTAAAGGTGTTAAACTGTTTTGCTGCAGGCAGAATTTAGTTCCTTTCTCTAGGAACTAAAGAAAGTTTGTTAAATGTTTTGTTTGTTAAATATTTTGTTGCCTAAAATTGCTTATTTGTTGCAACTATTTCTTTCAATATTTGCTTTTTGCATTTTTTTTGCCACTGTTGAACTGGTGTAATTTCTGCT